TATGACTACAACAATAAACTTTATATGACTACAAATTCAAGAAAAGCAATAATACTTTACTCTAATTTAAAAAGGAACTTTAAAAGTGAGAGATTTAAATATCTTATAAACAATATATCTTGTTATCTCTGGAAACTATACAAATTATATTAAATGAGGCAACTCAAATGAATATACAACATTGTTTAAGGTGATGAAATAATTTCATATAACTGTTTATTGTGCAGTGTATTTAACAAATGTTACATAAATGTAGAAACATCTTCAGACTGATAATTTTTTAATTCAGGCTTTTTCTTGTAGTTCAAGGATCACAACTGAATTGCTGATTGCAAGCTTTGCAAACCGCCTCAGTGTTCAAAGTAAAATATAAAATAATGAAATATATAAATATATAAATATATATAATGAAATTAAATATAAAATAAGGATAAAAATTTCAGAACTATAATGATTTAAATTTTGCCCAACCTCATTTCAAAATGGTCTACAAATTGTAAGAAAAAGATTAGTGGTGATAAACTGACATTTGTGCTAAACTCTTATTTTGAACACTTTGATGATTTCTCTTTTTTTATGTTTCCCCAAAATAAATTTCCCTACACGAACATGTAAGCTTGTCCTCCTCAGGGTTGCTGTTTAGCATTAAACTAGATTTGTTGTTACAGAAAATTGTTTTTAAATTAGGTGAAAAGAGAATTTTGCAAAAAAGAGAATTTTGCAAAGAAGAGAATTTTGCAAAGAAGAGAATTTTGCAAAGAAGCATAGAACACCAAATTAATAGTATGAATGGTAATTGGCATGCTTCTGGAGCTACTGAGCATTGCAAAGAATGCCATGAAATATTCGACTGGCTGCACCCAAAAACTTTATCTATAAATAACAATTATTATGAAAGGAAAATAAGGGAATCACTTGAAATTAACTATGCGCAAACATCTCAGGAGGTTAAACAATACCCAGTACTGCTTAACAGGGATAATGGGGTAAAAGTTGCTTCAAATAGTTGGAGACCACTATTTAATAAAATTGTAAAAAAACAAAACAATTTTTGTTGACATTGTCTTTGTAATGGCTTCTTTATGATTTTTAAATTTTATATTGTAACGGTTTTTTAAATTATATTTTACATCTGATGATGGTCTTTACAAATTAGACCGAAATATCACAAAAAAGTAAAAATTAGTTAGTACATTGCTGTTTTGATGTTTTACAACTTATTTTAACACACAGCATGCATTTTTCAATTTACTCTGTAAATGGCTGGAACCTATTGACAAAGGCTATATTATTAGACTTTGCTTATCAATTGTTGCGCTTATGATTTCATTCTTAAAGGCATATGATTTCATTCTTCAAGATTTACTCATTGCTGAACCATAACAATGTTTTTCTAATGAAAGTATCAAGTTATTGCATAGTTATTTGAGTTATCAAAAACAAAAAGTTTCTACATTTTCAATTCTAATTCCAATCCACCTTTGGTGAATTGGAATTTGGTTAACCTGAAAATATCAAATGAACTGGTTGTGCAGCAATTGTTGTGCATAATTTATGAATAACCTGCTGCACAGCCAGTTCATTTGGTATTTGCATATGGTTAAACTTCTGAACAGCATTTGTTGATTTGTCTTTTTAAGTTCAATAAAAGTCTTTATTTTTTTCCATTTCTCAGTTGATCAGTGCAGTTCAATCTGTGTTGATTCTTTTTAGTTTTATCTACATTGCTATTGGTTACTTGTTATTTCTTTGTCACTGTTGTCTAACTTTATTGTTAAAAATTCTTTTAAAACAGTTATACTAGGGACTAATAAAAATGGATGTAACATGCACTTTACATCTCTATTGCATAAAATCATTCCCGTCAAATCTTTATACTTTGAGTCAATTTTTAGAGCATCAGCTAACAACTTAACATTCTGGGGCCATATTCTCATCTCTCTGTTAAATTTAACAGAGCAATTTTCAATAGTTTTTCTTCAGCTGTATTATTAAACAAAAACTTTAAAAAAATACAATTTTTTAAACATTCAATGAGTTTTATTTTGATAATAGTTTCATTTTAATTTATTTGAAAAAAGTTTTTAACTTTTCTTAACTTCAAAAACTTGTGATGAAATTTTAGACTATAGTTCTGTTAAACTTAACGGATAGACAAGAATACCGATAATTTAGTGTAAAATAATATAAACATTTTGTTGTTTTTTTCTATTTTCATGTTTTTTAAACAGTTTACAGCATTTCAAAAAATTTCTTTCAAATTCAACTTCTAAGTGATAAAATAGTTCAATGATAATCAAAGATAAAACAAATGACAAAACAACTTTAATAATAGTTATTTAATAACACATTATTAATAAAAATCCTCAAATAAATTAGTCAACGTCAAAAACAGAAAAAAATCAGAAACAAATTATATATCAGTGTTATATATAAGTGTATATATTAGATATCAAACATTATAATAAATAAAAATGGCGAATTAAAAGAGTTTTGCGCAGCCTCGTAAGTCCAAATTTTTTTGTTGTTATTTTATCGGGAAACAAAAAATTTTTTTAAATTAAAAGAAACTTTTCGGCAGAAGAAGTTAATTGCACTTCGTATTGATGCCTAAATTATGTTCAACTAAAGTCAATGCTAGTTCGACACTATAATTGTCATTAGCTGGCATTGAGTAGACATAAAAGTTTTTTTTACCTATGTGCATGATTTTGCATTTATCGAGAGTTTCATTTTCCAGGTTTTACACCAATTGGTTATGTTGTAGATATCAGTTTGAAGCATTTGTGAAGCTAATGGGTGGTCTAAATGGGCCAGCAGTTTAGTGTCATCAGCATACATTTTACATAGATGGTTAATAATATCGGATATATCGTTTACAAAAATGATAAAAAGCATTGAACCTAATACGGATCTTTGAGGGGTGCCACTAAATACCTCAAGCCACAAGTAAACATAATCGCCCATCACGATTCGTTAAAAACGCTGGTGTAAAAACGATTTTATCCAATTCAGGAGATTTACAGTAAAACCATATGCCTCAAGTTTGTAAATTAGTCTCTTGTGGGGAACCATATCAAATGCTTTACTGAAATCTATAAAAGCTTCGTCCATAGATATCTTGTCAGATAATGCTTTTGACATCATGTCAATCGACTCCAACAAATTAGTTACTCAAACTTTTTTATAGACAAAACCAAGTTGATTTTTTGAAATAAGGCTATGTTCGACTAAATGGTTGACCATATTGTCACGTAATATTTTCTCCATCGCTTTACATACAACTGATCTTAAGGATATAGGCCGGTAGTTGCCTGGGTCGAGTCTACCTCCGTTTTTAAACAGTGGTGTTACATTAGCTTTTTTAAATACTTCAGAACAGTTCTTCAGTACATATGTTTTATCAACTGATAAATCGCTCAGCTTGTTTTTAACCAGATCTTGCGTTATTTGCGAGTATTTGAAGATGGCTTTAGTTTGCTTTATAAAATATGGCTTTAGTTCGTTTATATATCATATATATCATCGTCTTCATTTTTGTTGAAAACACTTTGAAAGTTTTGTTGAAAACACTTTGATTGTTCAGCTGATTTGCAATTTCTATTGGATTTGTGATAGTGTCGCCATTATATATATATATATATATATATATATATATATATATATATATATATATATATATATATATATATATATATATATATATATATATATATATATATATATATATATATATATATATATATATATTTATATATATATATATATATATATATATATATATATATATATATATATATATATATATATATATATATATATATATATATATACATATACATATACATATACATATACATATACATACATTTATGTTTACTCAAACTTAACTAAAGAAATTAAACTTTATATATAAAATATATTAAACAATGTTTTGAATAAACTTGTTTAAATAAAAATAAATAAAATGTTAAATGCTAATGTTAGTGTAAAAACAAAATATGCAAAAATAAAACAAATTATTTAATTAAAAAAAAATTTTAATTAAGTATATTACTTGATTTTCGTGATTTCAAATCAAAGGTTGTATGCATTAATTTATTTGTAGGATAGCCCGCTCTGGCTACATAGCTACTACATAAATATGTTGTCCGCTACATGCTTTTATTCTTATCATACATGCGCTAATTTTAGTGATGTAAAAACAAAAGTTGCAAAAGTAAAACAAAAATTCAAGTTGAAAAAAAAATTTAGATTAAATATATTACCTAATTTTTTTGAAATTAGTTTTAAAAAATATTATTAAAAAATTTTTACACACATTAATTTGACGTCAATTAAAGTCAAATAAATTGCAGTAGCATTTTTTTTTTAATATTTAATAAGGTTTTATTTTTTCACTAAAGTGGCAATAAATCCTCATTAAATAAATTTTTTTTTTTTTTTTTGCTAATGCCCCTTTTAGACTGATTATTAACAAACTCCATTTTTTACTTTTTCTCTCTCTCTCTCTCTCTCTCTCTCTCTCTCTCTCTATATATATATATATATATATAAATATATATATATATATATATATATATATATATATATATATATATATATATATATATATATAAATATATATATATATATATAAATATATATATATATATATATATATATATATATATATATATATATATATATATATATATATATATATATATGTATATATATATATATATATATATATATATATATATATATATATATATATATATATATATATATATATATATATATATATATATATATATATATATATATATATATATATATATATATATATATATTTTGAGCCACAAACTTAACTTGACAAATTAAACTGTTAAAAAAAAAACATTTTTTTTTTTTTTTTTTATGGTAAAGTTAAAAAATATTATAAAATTATTAATATTTAATATAAGTTAAGAAATATAATACTTTATAATAACTTTAAGCAAATATTTATTATTTAGTACACATGGCAATCAAACCCTGACTCAAATTATTTTATCTCAATCTTAAGATATCCTATTGACAAACCAGAAAAAACAGAGCTTCTATGTCGTGCTGCATCTTCTGGTAGTTGCACTGTAACTTATTCTACTAATGGAACATTTATTTACACAAGTGGAAAGTTTATTAAAAATAGAAACGATGAATTTAAAGGAATTGTTGTTGTGTCGCAATTGTCACAGATCCAAAGTGAAATACAGTTATCAATCAAAGGTTAATTTTTACAATCAATTTTTATTTTTATACTTTTAAACATATTATAACTTTTTATTATCCCTAATCAATGTTGTCGTTCATGATTTAGATATTATTGTACAAATGTCTGCTGGACGAAAACGAAGAATGGTTTTTTCAAGTTTTATTTTTTCTGTACCATCAACTCCATATGTTACTGCTATTTCTTATAGTTCATGCTCAAGTATTAAAATTAATGGAAACGGTTTTAGTAATACTTTAGAGGATAACATAGTAACATTTGGAGGTTTTTTATGTGTTGTAACATCTGCAAATGATCTGGAAATTATTTGCGACATAAATAAAAGCTCTTCTCGACCTACAGCTACATTTTTACCTATTGAGTTATCTGTTCAAGGGTTTGGTTATGCAAATATTGGAATAACACAGGTAGCAGACCAATCAGTCATTTGTTTTCCAGAAACCCAAACTATAAGCCCAAAGTATGGCTCAATCGCTGGTGGCACAACAGTTAATATCATTGGTTTTAATTTGAACTTACCTACCACAAATGTTTATATTAATTTCAATAAGTTATTAATTTGTAGAAAGGTGTCTCAGTCCTTCTACAACTTATTATGTGTCATGCCTCCATTGCCATCAATATCATCTCAGCAATCAAGTGCTATAATTTCTGTTTGTGATGATTCTGAGTCACAAGATAATTGTTTTAATAAACCTTTTCTTAACTTTGATTATCAAATGAGTAGTACTCCAGAGATTATATCTATAACACCTACTACTATCCAAACTTCTAGATCATCAATTCAAATTTCAGGTAAAAAGTTTGGTGATGTATCAAATGTACTTGTTCAGATCGGCCCTTCAAACTGTAATATTATTAGTTTAACTACTCAAAATGATACACAAACAATAACATGTGTTGTCAGTTTACCAGCAGGTGTTTATAGTGTAAATGTTTTTAATTCAGATTATGGAAATTCATTAAACGCAGCTAATTTTATGGTTACTAGTTTAGCTGTGTTGAATAGTATTATGCCAACTAGTGGCAGCATATATGGAAAAACAACTGTTGTAATTAAAGGAAATGGTTTTTGCACAAATATGCAGGTGAAGTTTGACACTCTTGATGCAACTGTTCAAAAAAATACAATTGATGAAGTTGTTGTTTCAACTCCTCCACGCATTGCTTCAACTGTAGCAGTCTCATTGCAATGCAGTGGTAAAAGACTTGCGTTTGGATCATTTACATATGCTTCCTCATCGACTCCCTCAATAACAAATATTGTACCTAATTCTGGAAATGGAGGAGATGAAGTTACTATAAATATTAAAGCAGCATCATTTGATAGTTTAACAGTTTTAGTATCAGGAAATAGTGCAAACATTACAAATATTACAAATATTAATGTAACAGCTGGATCTGCATCTGTAAAATTTATTTTGCCAATAAATGCTGCAGGCCCAGTGTCTGTTGCATTCATAGTTCCTTTACTTGGATTGTCTAATCAAGTTCAGTTTACATACAATTTAACAGTTTTGAGTGTAAGTCTTTTAGAAAGTGGTTATGGAGGTGGTCATTATGTTGATATTTCTGGTAATGGGTTTAGCAATGCAACTAGCGTGTATATATGCAGCAATCAATGTACTCAAACTAATGTTATTTCAACCCAGATGTTAAACTGCAGAATACCTCCATATACACCCTCAAGTTCCCCAACAACAGAGTGTAGCATTATGGTAAGTGTTCAAGGTTTTAACTTTACATTTGGTCAAAAGTATGTCTATAAAGCATCACTTACATCTTCATTAACTAGTATTTTACCAATTCGAGGAGGAACTGGTGGTGGAGTAAACTTGACTATTTCAGGAACTAACTTTGATCTAAGTTCCCTGGTAAAGATTGCTGGTGTCGTTTGTCAAATAAACTCTATATCAAGCTCTCAAATTATTTGTCGCTCTGGTCCATCTAATAAAACAGTACAAAATTCAGCAGTTGAAGTTTTTAGCAATAAAAATGGTTTAAGTTTATTTGGTAGTGTCTCTTTTTCATATATTGATGTTTGGAGTTCAAAATTTACATGGGGAGGAAATGATCCTCCTGTTGAAGGTTAGATTAGCTTTTTAAAATTTATTGTTACATTTTTTGTTTTTTATTTTTATTTTGTTATTTTTATTGTTTAAATATCTTAGGTGACTACGTTATTATTCAAAAAGGTCAAACTATGTTGCTTGACGTAAGTACTCCAGTACTAAAAGTATTGCTAATTAAGGGTGGCACTTTAATTTTTGATGAAAAAGACATAGAACTGCATGCTGAAAATATTTTAATAGTTGAAGGTGGCGTATTTTTAGTTGGTTCTGAAGACCAACCATTTCAACATAAAGCTATAATTGAACTTCATGGTCATGTTAGATCTATAGAGCTACCTGTTTATGGTGCAAAATCATTAAGTTTGCGTCAAGGTTACCTTGGTTTGTATGGAAAACACATTATGAATACATGGAGTCGAATTGCAAAAACTGTGAATCCTAATGATGTTGAAATGGAACTTATTTTTGAAGTACCTGATTGGAAAGTAGGAGATGTTATTGTTATTGCTGCTACAGGAAGAAGCATTAGAGAGAATGAAGTACTTACAATAACAAAAGTTAATGGTAAATTTGTATCTTTTGACCCTCCTTTGAAATATATGCATATTTCAGTCACACAGTTCATTGAAGGAAGGTATATAGAAACTCGCGCTGAAGTTGGCTTACTATCCCGAAATGTCATTGTTCGTGGTTCAGAAAATGAACAATGGAATGATGTAATTGTAAATTGTCCAAATGATTTTGACCCAGGACAGTTTGCAACACAAACTTGTTTTGATGGCCGATATGGCGAAGAGCGTGGCAGTGATCAGTTTGGAGTACAAATTATGGTACATTCAAATAAAATGAGTGAAGGAACAGCTGTTGCCCATTTTCATTATATTGAAGTTACAAATGCAGGTCAAGCTTTTCGTTTAGGTCGTTATCCAATTCATTTCCATATGGAAGGAGATGTGAGTGGTTCATATGTAAAAGGCTGTGCTATCCATCGAAGTTTTAACCGAGCAGTAACAATGCATCATGTTAATAACTTAGTTGTGGAGAGAAATGTTATCTATGATATTCTAGGTATTTTATTTCAGATTGTTTGTATTTATTTGTACGAATAAAATTATAATAACAAAAAAATGATAATAATAATATATATCCACACAATATACTAAAAAAAAAGTATGCACAATAATATTTTGTTTAAATAAATTTAATTGAATTCCAACCTAAACCTAAATATATTCAGTTGAACTCCAATTTGGTAATCGACCCGGCCAGGACAATAAATCTTTTTTGATTTCCTATATCAATGTTTTGACTGTATGAAATTTGTCTGCAGGTACCATATTTTGTTGAAATTGCACCATTTATTTTGATTATTTGCTATGTCTATTGATGGAACCATGCAGTACTTTAGTGTCTCTACAAAAGTTTGATCGCTGATTTGTCCTGTATAAATGTTACACATTCCAGCTTCTATAAAATTAAAGCAACCGTAAAAATTTACTCTCTCACCCCCAGCTATTAACTTTGGTACCTTATGCTCTTTTGAAGTTACTGTCATTACTGAAAATTACTTGCTTTCACTTTTCCAAAGACCTACTAATTCTCTCATTACACTATCTCAATCTCTGTAGTCATCATCATCAATTTTCTAGCAGCTGCATAAACAATAATGTTTTTCTAAAGTATTATTTTTAATAACAAAACAAAAAATTTAACTTTAGATGTAAAAATTTTTCTTCTTATGAAAATATTGAACTATTAAAAAGAAAAAAAAAGGAAAAAAAATGCAATTCTCAATTTTTCACTCAGTTTATAATATTTTCAGAAGTCCTTCAAAAGATTTGGCTGACATTTGCCATCAGGTGACAGCAACTGCACATCTGATGTATATATATATATATATATATATATATATATATATATATATATATATATATATATATATATATATATATATATATATATATATATATATATATATATACATATATATATATATATATATATATATATATATATATATATATATATATATATATATATATATATATATATACACACACACACACACACACACACACACACACATACACACACATATATATATAGCATCCAAGTCGCAACTTTCAGGGACATTTTTTTCTTGTTCCCGTTCTGTTTTTTTTTTTTACTTTTTATACTATTTTTATCATATTTATATATTTTTTTTAAATTTTTATATAATTTCTATTTTTATTTATACATATTTAAATTTATTATTTTATTATAAAAACATATTTTTTATATTAATTTTTGTTATTTTTATTTATTTTATATTTTACTTTATTTTTAACTTCATCTATTTACAAAAACCATTAATTACAATAATATAACCAAATTTAAACCTTGCCGTAACCCTAACCCTAAGCCTGACCTTGATGCCTGGCCAAACCAGAGGTAATAACAAGATATCTAGGAGGGGTAGCTTTAAATACAAACTTGTCAAGAATATAGATTGCAACTTGAAGTTATTAAAGTGATACCCAGGGTGTAATATCAAGATAAAAAGATGTAGTAGTTTTGCTGGTACTTTGCTAACTTTGCTAATATTCCATCAAACACCCTGGTCTCCTAATTATAACACAAGTTTAAGTTTTTGAAATAGTTATTTCTGAATGAGATATATATTAATTTAAAATTTATTAAAAAATAAGGGTATAAAATAATTTTTTGTAAGTTACCTATTCAGCAGAGTATTTGACATAATATAATTTTAAAATGTTGCTTCGCTGAAAAACCCTGACCAAAGAATAATTTTTTTTTAAATCTCACAAAAAGCACAATCGCTTGTCTAGATTAGATTAGAATTTAGTTTTTCTCAATTGAAATTTATTGTTTAAAATTTAAACTAAAATGTTTCAACACAAAAAAAAAGTGATCTAATGGCTTCAACTCAATAAAAAAAAGTAATGTTTTGACATTAGAAAAGTGATTTACACACTTTATTAGAGGAAAAAGTGGTGCTAAAACTTCAAAAAACTAAAAAAGTGCATTTCAAATTAAAAAGTGATGAAAATGCTTCAACACAAATAAAAGTGACTTTAGTGCTTCTACTAATCTGATTGGTCAGTTTTTTATTGAAACCTCTTTCTTGATCGGTACCTATAAGTTTTGCATGAAATTTGATTGAAATATTGTATTTTGACAGATATATTTAGTTAATATGCAAGTTAATATTTATTTAAATAATATTTATTTTTTAAACAGAATATATCTAGGATATAAAGTGGATTAAGCAATTTTACCAAAAAAATTTAACAGGTTTCTAATTAATAATAATGAGTGATTTCAATCAAAAGACTCCAAAATAGTGTTTTTTATATCTTGTATTAATGGTAGTAAAAGATTTTTAAAATTTAATAAAAAAAAAGAAAAATTTTTTTAAACATTAAAAAAAGCTGACACAAAAAAAAATAGTCTAAAGCTGTTTGAACACAATACACTGATTATTTATGTAAATATTAACTTTTAGAAATAATTTATAAATTACCTTAACTACATCAAGTAGTTAAGGGTAAACATAAGGAGTAAACAGATTCTATCTGTTGACCAGCCTCGTACTCCTTCTTCATCTATTAGGCTGGCGCAGATGTATTTTTAATACATTATTTCTAGTTTAGGATATTAAAGGCTAGATCTTCTTGACTCGATGGAAGGGTTTTGCTTGTGTCTCTGTTTTTATGACTAGGCAACTCATTCTATTATCTCTTAATGAGGGTACAGCTCTAAAACTCAGTTTTATGGTTCTGAGGCCGGCTGATAGTCAGGTTTTCTGAACTCTGTGGTAGCTCTCAGAGAGGCTGATTCAATCAACAGCTAAAAAATATCAAAGTACTAACAGTGCCATGTTGCTCATGGATGGTGTCCCTGTTTGTGCTTTTGGTGTACATTGCCAAAGCCACATTGTAGCCCTTTGTTTCGGCTTAGGGTTTAATTATAGCAATTAGACAATTGCTTGGGCTATTAAACAGTGTACTGAGTACTATCTATGTTTCAAGTCAAGTTCTTTAACAAATTCAAAAATGAATAAAGTAACAAAAACTATAAAACACAAAAAACCACTGTCATTACCAAGTTCGCTAAACTCATCATTCACTAATATTCGTGGTCTTCGAAGTAACTTTTCATCTGTTGAGTCTTGTCTCTTGCAAAGTTCACCAGATCTACTTGCTCTTTGTGAGATAATATGAGTTCAGCTGTGATCTTAGTGTTGATAGTTATCTTTCTTTTATTTGTAAATACTCCAATACTCACGTGCTTAGGCTGGGCATTTACATTCGTAAGAGTTTACCCATTTATCGAGAAACTAGGTTTGAATCTACAGACTACTCTTTTATATGCTTTTGTTTAGCACCACTTCACTCTATCACCTTTCTCTTTGTTTTATATTGCTCTCCATCTCAAGAGTGCACTCTTTTGATGTTATTTTAGATCATATTGACCAAGCCCTCATTCTTTATCCATCAGCCAATATTGTAGTTGTTGGTAACTTTAATGTTCATCACACTGAATGGCTTGGCTCTAGTGTCAGTGACAAAGCCCACAACTTTTGCCTTTCTCAATGCCTAACTCAAATAGTCAACTTTCCAACTCGCTTTTCAGACATCCCGAATCATTTACCTTCTCCTTGAATTATGTCTCATTTCTGCTACTAGTCAGTGTTTCTCCACATTCACGCTGGTGCCTCTGATCACAGTTTGATCTCTCTAAAACTATTTTCTCATTCTTCTTATTCATCAGAATCCCCCTATCACTGTACATCTTACAACTACCTTAAAGCTGACTGGGACTCTTTCCGTGATTTTCTTTGTGATGGCCCTTGGGTAGAAATCTTTTGTCTTCCTGTTAACAAATGTGCTTCTTACATAACTTCATGGATTCAGGCTGACATGAAATCTTTTATCCCTTTCTCAACAATTTCAGGTCAAGCCTCACTCTTCTCCATTGCTTTCTTAACATTGCACTGCTTCAATTGCCAATTGAAGCCATTACTTCCATATCTATCAGCAAAACAATTCTCCAGAAAACAGAAGTCTGTTTATTACTACTAGAAACAATTGTAAAAAGATTTTGTCTAAAGCCAAAGCCCGTTATTCTCAATTCATGAAATTTTGTATTTCATCACAAATATTTGCCTCTTATGACTTCTGGAGAATATTTAATAGTATCAATAATAAGGGCAAGTATGTAATTTCACCTCTTTTGTATGGTTCAGACTTTGTCACCTCACCTAAAGACAAAGCTGAATTGTTAGCTAAGAACTTTTCATAAATATCATCTCTTGATTCCACTATTTGCATTTTACCTAATATAGCTGTCAAACAGTTTGATCCATTGCTTGACATTTGCATCAACCCAGCTTCTATATCTAAAGTGATTTCTTGCTTAGACTCTTCTACAGCTTGTGGCTCGTACAACATACTTGTTATAGTCTTGCAGAAGTGTTCTGCAGAGCTGTTGTCTATCCTTTCAAAACCATTTAACAAGTGCTTATCAGAGTCTTGTTTTCCAAGCTGCTGAAAAGCAGCATCTGTTATCCTTATTTTTCAAAATTCTGAAGAGCTATCTGATTTGTCTAACTACTGCCCCATTAGTCTTCTTCCTATCATAATCAAGATTTGAATGTTTAATTAACAAACACATAATCTCTCATCTTGAATCTAATAACTTACTTTCTGATCATCAATATGGATTTCAATCTTCTCGTTCTATGCCTGATTTGCTAACAATAATAACCAATAGGTTTTATTGCACATCAGATAAAGGTGAAGAGATTAAGTCATCGCTCTTGACATTTCTAAAGCGTTTGATAAAGTTTGGCAGCTGGTCTTCTTCATAAGCTTTTTTCATACTGTTTATCTGGTAACATCTTTAAGATTATTGAATCCTTCCCTTCTAATCGTAGTATAAAAGTTGTCCTTGATGGACAGCACTCTTCTTCTTATTCAGTAACCTCAGGTGTTCCTCAAGGTTCAACTTCTGGCCCTATACTCTTTTTAAATTACAATGATCTTCCAGATATTCTCACATCT